TTTCTCTGAGGCAAGGTTTCTCCCAGTAGTCCTGGGTATCCTGGAACTCTCTCTATAGACCAAGCTGGCCTTGAACTCATAGAGATCCACCTGCCTCTGCCTCCCAAGTGCTGGATGTGACATCACCACCTGGCATCTTTAGATTTTAAGATTGCATTTATTTGCTTATTTTTCTTGTGATCATGTGTGCATGTGTGTGCGTGTGTGTGTGTGCGTGTGTGTGTGTGTGTGCGTGTGCGTGTGTGTGTGCGTGTGTAGGTGTACAATGATCTTTACCTTCTGAATCATCTCGTGAACCCTCCCACCCCCTCTATTTATCTATTAAAATTTTCCTGCTATTTCATGGATTCCAAGGCTTGGGAGTGATTGACCCTTACCCTGAAGGAATGAACTTGTGTAGAGAGAAATTAAGATGTTGGACAAGGGGTGGAGGAGGAACCACCACTGTAGCAGCCAAACCTCACGGCTGGCACCCCAAAGCTCAAGCAGGATCACCCCAAGTCTCCCAGGCACTTCCTTTACCCATGTTGACTCCAGAATCACAGGAAAACTCACAGCTGCTTTAATGCATTTTATTGAGCCATAGCGGAGAGTAGCTGCCTACACAGTATAGCTACCCGAGCCAGAGGGACAGGCAGGGGTGGTCAGGAGCTCAGGTAGAGCAGAGGTGGGGCTCAGGATGGTGAGCAGGAGAGGAAAGCAGGGATGCCACCTGGGCAGAAGCAGTATGTTGGGAGCAAGAGAGGTCATCTTGGATAGGTCTCAGAAGTTTTTGGGGACATAGCGGTAGATCCAGTCTAAGTAATAGGTGACCCGAGTGTAGATGCCAGGCCTGTCAGACTGTGCACAGAGCTCACCCCAGCTGACCACTCCTGCCTGCAGCCAGGTGTCTTTGACCTTGCAGACCAGAGGTCCTCCAGAGTCACCCTAGAGAGGATAGGGGTCAGTGTCCCTGTGAAGGCTGGTTATGGGTAGCAGGGGGAGGAGACAGGAGCTCACCTGATGGAAATTGTGCTTTCCATCCCCAGCACACAGCATGTCATCACGGACAATGTGGACATTGTCACCTGTGATGAGACCTTCATGATACTTCCTATCACAAAGGCGGTTTTCTATAATGGGAACTTGCACCTCCTTCAAGGGAAATGGCGGTGGCAGTTTTACTGTGGGTGAAATAAAGACCATCATGTGGATAGGGTCCCAGGTGGCTGGCTGGGATGGGCTCAGCTAACCCTGTTCTCTGAGGACAGTTCTGTTCACAAGACCCTGTTTAAGCCAGGCCCACTTCATTCAACTCTGCCAACCTGGCTTCTTTCTCAAGCCTGGGTCTGGATTTCTGAATTTATACAGAGAAGGAGGACAGTCTGAAGGGTCATTAGTGAGCCATCTGGTCTTTGGAGTGCAGGGGTAAAGGTGGTCATCTCACATCAGCATGGCTGGCTCTGCCTAGGCTGTGTAGAGGATCCTGGTGGCACCTGGTCTTGGAGACTATTCTCAATCCCCACCTCTGTGGAGATTGCAACCCTAACTCTGTGTAGGTGGAGATGGACCCATCCTGTGGTCCACAGACATGGCCTGCTCATGGTCCTATACCTGAAGCTCTACTCTTTGAGTTGTCAAAGACCACTAGGGAGCAGGGAAACTGGCATTGGAAGCTCCCAAGGGAGCTGTCCAGCCTCATACAATGCCAGTGGACCCTGATGCAGACCGTGAAACACTGGTCCCTGAAGTTGTAGCCCACTTCTTTCCTCGTGTGTGTGGTGTGTGTGTGTGGTGTGTGTGTGTGATGTGTGTGTGTGTGTGGTGAGTGTGTGTGGTGTGGTGGTGGTGGTGTCTGTGTGTGTGTGACATTGTTGGTAATTGTGCTTTCACTCTTCCTTAATCAAATCTCTGAAATACAAGCAGACTGTGGCTCCTTCAGACATGAAGCTTTGACTTTTGAGGGACAAATGACTTATCCAAGCTATGCTTTGGTGTCCTGGCTTATGGAACCTGAGAACCCTGTTGTTCTGATGCTTCCCACTTCCTAAGTCTTCAGATTTCCATCCTACAACTTGGAATAAAGCACTGTGCTGAGGATGTGGCCCTGCCCTCACCTGTCTAACCCTTGGTTGTGTCTACCACATACCTTGACAGTAGAGGTTACCCCAGCCTGTCACCCAGCACAACGTTCCTGAGGGGAAGTTCTCTGAGGCAGGAGGCAGGGAGACAGGGTGGACATAGCAGGAAATGTTCACAGGGTTTGTGAGTTTCAGCAGGGCAATGTCTGCCCCATGCTGGGGGATGTAGAATTCATGGTGTGGAATGATCTTGCTCACAGTCAGCAAGTGGTCATGGTGATAGAGGTACTGCTTTTGGAGCTGTACTCTGAACATGTCGGGATCAGCATCAGCGATATTCCTGAAGAAAGAGGTATTTGTTTAGGAAGCCTGTGTCACTTCCAGAAACCCAGAGGTGTGATGATCTCATCCCACAACACTCTCCTACCCATTCTTTGTCCCACCCTACCAAGCCCAGAGAGACTCACGGTCCCACACAGCCTGCTGCAGTTAGCACCCACTGTGGGTGGATGAGGGAGCCGCCGCAGACATGCATCCAGTAGCTGACATGCTTACGCAGGCTCACCTGCCAGGGCCACTTGTTCTCAGGTGCATCCGTTCCCCCCACAATGCCCTCTCGTGACATAGCTGGACCTGGGGATACAGGGCAAGTCTTAGTACCCCTGGCATGTGAGCTACGAGGGTCAGGGAAAGGGAAAGGGAGAGCCCAGGGGAGAACTCACCAGGGGCTGCATGCACCAGGCTGGACAGAAGGGGCAGTGTCAGCAGCAGCAGCTTCAGCATTTGGACACAGTGAGAAGTAGTGCGGGCCCAGTTGGAGGTGAGGGCTAGACTAGTCTGAACAGGTTGTGGGGTGCAGAATAAGTCAGGAACCCGGGAGCAGGAAGGTAGGTCCATTCCAGGAGCTTGAAGTCTCTGGTAGCTTGGCCTCTGTGCTTCACGGCAACACTCAGATGTCAGAGACTGGCAGAGCTTAGCTGTCTTTGATCTTCTCTACCCAGCCTCAAGTTCCCTCTTCATTTATCCTTCGAGATGGGGGTGGGGTGGGAGGAAGGGCATGCCACCCTCCAATATAAGCCAGGAGGACATGGGTGAGGCAGACTCAGGGCCCAAGTGTCTGGGCAAAGAAGGGGCTCTGTCAACCTTCTGCTACATTAGACGGAGATCTGTGGATAAACCCTGTACTTTGGCCTCTGGGCAATATCTGAAGACCAGGAGCATGTGCTCATCCAATGCATCTGTGCTTCAGCAGCAGAGAGGCAACCCATGGAAAGGAGGGGATTGCAGAGAAGCCACCAGCCTCTCCTCAGGCACTTGCCACCCCTGCACCCGTCCCTGGACACCACTCTCTTGTTTATCCACCCTACCCTGTGACCCGCTGTGGCCTACTGATCACTAGTCTAGTCCTCTCCTTACCTTGAACTCGTGTCCCCCCCCCGGCTTGCCTGCCACCTTGAGCATCTCTCTTATTCCCTGCAGGTTCTAAACCCTACCTGGCTGTGCCTTCTACACACACCAGCAACTCCCTTGGAAGTCCAGGAGGCAGCATAAGGTGGTCAGAGGGTGTCCTGTGCTATCTCTGTGCTCCCCACTGGTTCTCTAACATAAGCATGCTTTTAAAAATAATAATATGTTTGCTAATTCTTTGAGAATTTCATACAATGCATTTTGATCAAATTCACCTTCTTCCCCAACTCTTCCCTTAGCTACTCTTTGCATCTTCACAGACTCCCAATGCTCTGAAAACTTCAAGATGGATGCATGAGTGAATGGATGAATGAGTGAATGGGTGAATGAGTGAATGGATGAATAAACAGCAGAAGAGCATTCCACAGATCCCAGGTGGCCCTGTGAATGTCTGGCTGTGGTCTTCTAGGATCCAGAAGATAGGATCTGACTTGTAGGAGAATCCAGTGTCTGCCCGGCTCTGGACAGATAGGCAGAATGAACTGGGGTCCTGGGTCACTCATCTAGATCTGGACACTGAGGTTCTGTCCTCATCGATTCTCCAGGCCACTGGTTGATAGAAGGATCCCACATGAGAGGGACAGGGGAACTGGTGGAGGCCCAGTGAGGGTTCTAGTTAGTGTCTAGAGGGCATCAGCCTTTGAGGGCCTGAGGGTGTGGGAATAGGTGATCCTTCCTCTTCCATGATGGAGAGGGAGCCTGAGAAAGATCCTCTAAGATGTTGTATAAATCACCCTCTTTGGGCACATTGGGACGATGTTAGAAGTTAAGAATGGACCAGTGTGTGTGTTGGGAAGGATTAAGATTTTGGATATTAAACCCAGCATGGTGGCACACACCCTTTTTTTCTTTCTCCCTTCCTTCCTTATTTCCTTCCTTCTTTTCTTCCTTCCTTCCTTTCTTTCTTTGTTACTTTTCTCTTTCTTCACTTTTTCTTTTTCTGTTTCTCTCTGTCTCTCTGTCTCTCTGTCTCTCTGTCTCTCTCTCTGTCTCTCTCTCTCTTTCTCTCTTTCTTTTTTATTTTTTTCTGAAGACAGGTTTTCTCTGTGTAGCTCTGCCTGTCCTGGGACTCACACTGTAGACCAGGCTGGCCTCACACTCAGATATTCCTCTACCTCTGCCTCCTGGTTGCTGGGATTAAAGGTGCTCCACCACTGCCAGTAGTGGGAGTCAGAGGCAGAGGCAGGCCAGACTCTATGTGTTTGAGGTCATCCTGGTCTACACAGTAATTTCCAGGACATTCAAAGCTACATAAGGAGATCCTATTACCCCCAGACTGCCCACACAAAGGTTACAGACAGACTTAATCAGTGGGCCAAAAAGAAATCGTAAGGGAAGCTAGAAAGACACAGAAATCTGTGAAATGAAAACAATACATCAAACACATGGGGTGCTGCCAGAAACCGTGCTTGAGGGAACCCAGAGCTCTGCAGCTGACAGAGAGCACCAGGAACTCAGCCCCAGAGGCCAGAAGAGCAGATGAACTTTGCAGTCACATAGGAAGGGAATAACCACCCCAGGAGAGACTGAGAGTATAACACAGGGCAGGGAGGTGAGCCTAGAGACCGATATAACACATTCCTACAAATTTGTCAGGTAAAAAGTTTGGAGTCTGCAAGGCATGTCTTCCCAACCACCAGAAGATGACATTACAGTAGAATCCATGATGACAAGTCACATCTTATATTCCAATGCCAAGTCCAAGCTGGTCACATGACAAGTCATTGGCCTTCTTTTGTCCCACAAACCTGAGCTAAAGGCCCGTCAACAGCAGAGGTGAAATGGGGTTTTGTACATTTTCTTCTTTGATATTTTCTGGTCTTCACACTCTCCGAGATGGCTGGCCAGAGTCGGATACTCTAGTGATTAATGTATCACATCTGTCTGATGGCTCTTTGTGATCAGATGATAGTTGTAGATTTGGGGACATCCCCACAGATGGGATGATTTTCACCATCCCATCAGGGGCACCTTCTGTGAAACAGCTTCCGTTGGGGACCTTTGCCAACATTGCACATGGCCTAGGGCAGATTCATCACTGTAGGCCAGCCTTCTTCTGCCATGCTGATGGAGGATGAGGATGAGGTGACATGGTCCCCGAGCTAGAGGAACACTGTGCTGAGATGGTGAGGGATTCCTTCTCCCGTGGGCACCAGAGCTCCGAATAACCAGTTTCCATGAGTTCTTGACCTCTCCAACTCCATGACAGCAGATTTCTGGTTCCCAGGTAGGAGTGGCCAGACCTAGGGATACAAAGGTTCACACCCTGTGCTCTCCTGACT